TGGAAGTTACAAAAAATTACTTACTAAACTAGAAGCCCTGCACTTTTTCCAGTCCAACTCCCTGAAAATTATTGTTTTACAGTGTTTCAGTTTAAACATGATATGCATCCTTCGCATATTACCGAAAGGGCTTTACCTCATTATGTGGTGTCTCTACTAGCAAGCATGCTCATTAACAGTCTTTCATCACTGTATCTTTGTGTGCTAAGCAGCTGCAACAATAGCATAAGCTACTGCCAATGAAAATGAAAACACTGCTTGAAAGAGGATGACTGAATGATTCAATGTATGGAGGTTTTTATTAGCTTACTCCATAGTATTTATTGCAAAGTTGATCTTTAATGAGAGCCAGAATGTGCAAATTTATATTTCTTGTTGCTCATAATTCTTGGGATGATAATTTGCATAGACCCATATTTGGAATAAAATTAGAAACAGTGAAAAACAGGAGGGAGACATGGAGGAGCCTGGGCAGTTTTTTCTGGACAGAAATTGCAAAACACTGCATTTAAGAAACAAGCACCCCACCCACCTCACCTTGCTCTTTCATTCCCAGTGGGGTTAATAACACATGCTGATGTAATGATGACATAACTTTATCATCACAGCACAGCCATCTCTTTTTTGTCATCCTTGCAGTGCCTGTATCTTATGGGAAACGTTTTGCTCTCTTGGTTGAGAGAATGTTCATACTAAATTAGAATATTGTTCAGACTTATTTTGTAAACTGTCACATTTTATAAGCAAATAGACTTGAGCTTTATAACTGGCACAATGCTTAGGCTGGATAGCACTGCAGGTAATTTGAGGAATAGAGACATCGGCTGGGAGGGATTTGCAAAGAGAAATGTTATGGAAGCTTTATTACAAATGTAGGTATAATTAAGCATTCCAAACAATGGAAACTCAGCTGTGTGTCCCTTTGTTATCTTTGGAAAGTGCGGAAGTGTTCTGGCTTTTGCAACACTCAATAGATAAACGGGGGGGAGAATAGCGTGTGTTTCTTACAGTGGAGTGGGGGAATTATTGCAAGGGAGTAAATTAAGTAAAAACGCTGCCGTCTAGAGTATAAAATGGTCAGCAAGTGTTTAGCAACGATTCTTGCACCACCTAGCGGCTATTCTTTTAATTTCCTGTTCTGTATAGAGGAAAACGGGAAAGTGTTTTTTTTTTTCTCTCGTCCCCCTCCCCGTTTTATTTTTGCAGTGGAGCTGTGGGGTCAGAGATGGGTACAAAGACAATAGTAAAAAACTTGTAGAAAGACTTGAGACAAAGGAGGAGGAGGAACAACAAAGGGAAAACTAAATATTGGGCAGAATAAACGCCATAGAATTTTTCTATTTTTACAATTGATTAAAAGGTTGCACCAAATAGTAGGTTCCAAAAATTGCACCACATCACAAAGCCGAAGCTTCAGTGGGCGCGCATGTGTTGTGCCGGTGTTAGCAGTACTGTTCTCACTATACGTTCATTGAACAGTAGCGCAACCCCAAGATAAGGATAGTTAAAAAGAAAGCGTCGTGGGAATGCGGGGAGGCACTCTGAATAGCTGCTTCGGTTGTGGGGACCGGTTGTTTTGAGCCTCGGTTTTTCATTCATGCGCTCCCTCAGGGACGCAGTCTATGACGGTCCAGCGGCTCGATCTGTCTTTTTAGTGTCAGCTTTCGGCGATTTAGTACTTTCTCGCCGATAGACACGACTATACCCATAATGCACCGCGCCGCCTAGCGTGCATATTTGCATATTCAATTGGCGAACTTTCCCTGCGTTGAATGAGCAGGCTCACCGCAAACTTTGCACCATTCATGCAAAGGAGCAATTGGTCAAGTGCATCCGGTTTTGCATTTTCCTTTGGGCTGATTTGATGTTTGAACACACATGGAGCTGATGATAGTAATAATACATAATGATCTATTATTTACACAGTTTTACTAAATTCGTTTTACCAGGGTCATGTTATTTAAAAAGACATATTTTAAACTAAACAAACCAGGGGATACTTTACTTGCCTTAAGTGAGTGACATGGCTGGAATTTTGCAAGGCTAATTTAATATATATAAATCAGTTAACAATATTTATTGATAATACAAGGCAGTTTATTACATGCAACTAATTTGTTATGCTTAACGAAGTATTAATACACAGCACTTAGCATAATATTAATTAGCAGTTCTGTAACATTACTAATGAGCTAACTTTGTATATATTTTTAATTAGTATTTATGTAGAACTTTGCAAAATATGTAGTGCTTTCTAATAATATTACTATAATATTCTTATATAGTGCCTTTTCATGAGTAGTATTTCTCAAAGCATTTAAAAATATTTAATGTATTTTAAACTATCATTACTTATTAAAGGGATTAAAGGAATACTATAAACTTTAAAGAAAAAAAATCATAATTGTATTCCTAGTAACACTTTTGACAAACACTTTCACTTTTAAGAAAAAAAAGTCTGTTTACTTATCCCCATTTATTGTTGCTAGTTTTTTTAACTTGAATAATAAACTCAGTAAAGCCAGTTTTATTATTCATTATTTAAATAATAAATTATGAGTATATGCAATAATTACGAATAAACGGAAACATAACAGATATAATAAATGGCAAATGTGTATGTAATACATAATTTAAGAACATGTCTGTGAAAGTGATTATAAGGATTGTCCTGGTTTCAATTTGTTGAAAAATCCCTTTACCTACCTTGCTTAAAGGGGCTATGCCAGGCAGGTCCAAATGTCAAATACATTGCAGAGGGAACTGCTTATGCAATGCATGAAAGGGTTGTTTCACTTTTATGAGCACTGTTATGCCAGGATTGCTGCTGCATTGAGAAGCCCCATGCAATTTTGTGCACCTAGGTGTTGTGCCTGGCTACATTCTAACACACTGTCTTTGTTGTTGTGTGTCTGCAGGTGGTTCTGCTGGGGATGGACATACTGTCTGCACTAGTGTCACGGCTACAGGATCGCTTTAAAGCTCAGATAGGCACAGGTAAAGTATAAGGGATTGTTAGCCCTTCTGAATTATACATGGCCAAATTTTGTCCTCGCTTACATCCACCCATGCAACCTCATTGACTGTAAGAAGGTTACCAAGCTGTAATGGGGGAGCAGAAATAGTAGTTCATTGTCACTAATCTGAATGATTTTCTTAATATTGCATATGCTACAGAGGCTGTATCATAAGGTTTAGTACTTCACAGCTTCTGCCACTCATAGCATGAGTAAAAGTGACTGGCTCGGGCCCTAAATGACTAGCTTCTAAGCTGAGTTCCATTATTGCTTTGTATGCCATGCAGAGCCTCCAACCCAAAACCTCCTGATATGAGCACAGCCTAAATTCCATGGTGGATTTGACAGGTTCCACACAGATCTGTGGTTTTTAGAATTTCCACAGTGGTCTGCAAAGCGTGGGAACCGTTAGTGCAGTCTCAGTGCCCCATTGCTTTTGTGAATATTTTGTCTGTGATTTATTTGGGAGAGTTCTCCCCTCCTCCCCATCCCCTGCTGTTCTCATGAATAGCCTCATGTTCTCCATTCTCATTCTGGTGCCCACTCTGCTGCTGCAGTGTTGCCCGTTTTAGTTAACACACTGTGCTACAAGGATGGTCCCTTGTGCTGTTTCCTTCTTTCTTAGAGATCACAGACTGCCACTCTTATAACGATTGCATCTTAATGAATGCAAAACTGCCAGGATCTCAGTCCTCAGAGGTTCTGAGTGCTGACCATTCCCATGGACATCAATAGAATTTTGGGTTCTCAGCATCTCCTAGGGCTAGGTCGCAATCAGGCGCGTGAGTGCACACTTTAACACTGTGGATTAGTGATGTCCCAGAATTCTTTCTGCTTTGCTGAAGTGGGTGTGTGATTTTTAACTGTGATACTCTGTAGCTTTTTTTCTGATAGACTTTGGTGTTTTGTTTCCAGTGTTACCAAGCTTACTTGACAGGCTGGGAGATGCTAAAGATTCGGTGCGGGAGCAGGATCAGGCTCTGCTTCTAAAAATTATGGAACAAGCTACTAATCCTCAGGTATGGCAATGAGTCATTTTAGAATATGCTGCATTTTCCCACAAAGAACTTACGTCAGACTCTGTATTTGACTTACCATAAACCTTCCACAATGGGTGCATGCTAAATGGCCCCTTGTCTCCACAGGACAATCTCCGAGGGTGATTGCGGAGACAGAACCGTGTTCACACCAGATGCAATTAGATCTGGGAGGGATGGTTTATTAAGGTTCTAAACTGTAGCTTCCAATCCCAGCAAAGTGAAATGGACTCATTCCTTTTCTGAGCTAAATCCACTGAAAGCCTCGTTTACTGGGTGGGGGTCTTTCAGAGTACTCTTGTATAATCCAGGATCTTCCTATTCTCCAAGGGTGTTAATGACCCTCTGATACTTTCTGTAAAAGGAAAGCTTTGTCCCTGGTCGATATTTTCTCTTTGCTTACAGTTATTACAGAACTCTATCCCATTTCAGTGGTGATGCACATGTAGAGTTTGGAAAGATTCTTTAGAAATGAAAGGTACTAAGTAAACATGCTCTCCAGCTCCACCTGCTTGTCCAACAGAGCACTGGTTTCTAAGCCTTGCGTTCCCCTCCCATCTTTCCTCATTTCTGATTTGTCCCAAGATTTTAGGGCAGAAAGAAAGGCAGGGAAAGACACAGCAGCCCACACTGTTTAAATGCCAAATAGCTGGTACTTGTGTTTCCTTACCCTAGAGCTCTAATTGAAGATGATGCACAGCTGGGAGTGTTTGAGCATTAGCCAATCTCCACTAGAGGAGGGCAGACACAGGTGTCATAGATGCTGCGCCTTGGGGTTGGTGGGAATGTGCTGATTAACCAGTGTTATTTTAACTAGCGGTGAGTTAATACAGTCTTCCTATGAGGCCCCCTCCACCCAGGAATCCTTCTAGTCTCTTGTGTGTGAGCACAGAGTTTATATTTAAACCCAAGGCATGATCTCTTGCGACAGGGCTGGGAAAGAAAACCTCACCCACTCTGTTTTCCTTTTTCCCTTTCCACCCTCTTCTCTGTCTTCTGCAGTACGTGTGGGATAGGCTGTTGGGAGGATTCAAACACAAGAATTTCCGGACAAGAGAAGGGATTTGCCTCTGCCTTATTGCAACCCTCAATGTGTAAGTCATAGACTCGGCTTGCTTGGATCAGAGTGTTTTACATTTAAACAAACAAAAAAAATTCATACTGATGCACTTTCTCCACTTTCTTTTCTCCTAGATCCGGAGCTCAGAGTTTAACACTGAGTAAGATTGTGCCACATATATGTAACTTACTTGGAGATCCAAATAGCCAGGCAAGTCTTTGTTGAAACTCTGTGTTAATTTCCATGTTTGCTGGCAGGAACAGGGGTATGATTACTGCTCACAATAAGCTGGGCTCTAAAACGGGTCTCAGATGGCCCACAGGCCAGGAGTCTGTGGCCTGAGCACCCCCTCCAATCTGGCCTGCAAAGTATTTTGGAAAAGTTAATTAATTGCGCCTGTATGGCAGGCCCCGAGGTGGCAGGTAGACCTGGGGGACATGTGGGAGGGAGGAAAGGGAGTGGGAACATGCAGGCTAGCAGGCAGGGCCAGGAGACATGCGAGGGGAGTGTTTGTGTGAATACACAGCAGAGCATGCACTTGAACCCTGCCTGAAGGGGGTACACATTGGCCTGCTATGGGAATTTGAGGACTGGCACTGGTCATAACATGAATTGAGTTTGAGATCCCTGTGCTGAACTTTGATTGGTACATTGAGTGTGTGTGATTAGTACCACCTATTGGTGAAGTTTGCAGCTTCATCTTATGAAAACCCTGCTTTAGTTTTGCTCAGTGTGATTTTAGGGCATGCCTGGTTCTGTTCTCAGTGGCTCTTTGGTGAATCACTGGAGTTACTCTGGATTTCTACTGGTGTCATGGAAATAATTAATCAGAGAGTCTCTTCCTAAAAGTCTAAAATCACGGCGGTTGTTAATTCCTTGTGCCGCAGTGCGTGCTGCTCTGGCCATCTGAGTGAATTCAAGACGACATGAAAGAGATGCAGGAGTCCAGTCTGTCTCTGCTTAGTGGTCGTTGTGCTTGAAGAGCTGCTTCGGGGTGGGGATGTGGCAGAACTGACCTGGTGTCCAAATCAGGGAGCTGGCAGTGGTGTGCGGCTAGAGGGTTTTTATAAGGAGGTTCCTCAAAAATATCCCACCAAAATCTGACACACATTTCCTACCCCCCTTCGTGGAAATAGTTCTGTTCTCTCTGACAAATCCCTTCTCACCAGAGGATCCAACAGGGCCAGACTTGTAGTTTCTCCTAGCTCCATGACAGGGATTTCTGTTACTGGAGTGCCTCTCCTCTTGAGGTAGAGGGGGGCCCAGTTTCTTTTAAGTGCTCTGCTAAGGCCATAAAGAGGCAAAACCTGGCCAGAAGAGCTTGCAGTCCAATTGGAAACCAGACACAAGTGGAAGCAGAAGGAGTGAAGGTGGGGAAGGGAAAGGGCAGTGAGAAAGAGCTGTTAGATAGGGCAGCTCTTGGCAACTTCCTGGTTCCCGGTCATGGGAAATTGCCCTCCTTTGCTCTCAGCACAGCAAGAGTTTTGCTCCCCCTTGCTTCATGGATGAGTCTCAAGGTGTTTCCCCTTCTTGGTGACAGATGCACTGGGATCCCTGGTTGTGGTGTGGTGTTGGGCTGGGTGGTCGGCTGGAGAATAGGTGCCTTGTGGTTTTTAATTTGGACAGCCCTCCTCTCCCCCCGGCCCAGCTGTTGAGAGGAGTTGGTGTCGGAGAGCATTCCCCTCACTGCTGTAAGGGGCTAAGAGGAAGAGCTGGTTACCCTGGTAAAGGGAGAGGGAATAGGAATCCAAACTCCCTTCTAGTTAGGGGTGTAAAAAAATCTATAAATACAGTAATAGTTAAAAAATCCTATTGGTTCCATGGTGAACCATTTTACTTGGGAGGTATGGGTAGGAGGTAGGGAGGAGAAGGATGGTGGAGAGGTTCCCCCGCAGCCACCCCCGGGATGTCCCTTGCTGGCCCCACTCCCGGGGCACCAGCTGCCCAGTGCTGTGGGCTCTGCAGCCAGCAAGCTCCCAGGGAGCTGGCTGCCACCTCATGCTGTGGGCTCCACCAGCCCCCACTTCCGGGGAGCCCCAGGAATGAGCGTGGTAGAGCCCAGAGTGGGACAGCAGCCGGTTCCCTAGGAGTGGACAGAGTTTAACTGGTCACTGGTCAGCACAAGCGTATCCAGTTAAATTCTTACATCCCTATTTCCAGCACTGGCTGTGCAGACCCTGGGCAGGGGATGGACTTTAGGCACTCTGGCAGGAGAGAGAGATGGGCTCCAGGATCTCTCTCAATACACAGACAGAGATTCTTTGGCCTCGTCTTTTCTCTCTCTTTCTCTCTTTCTCTCTTTCTCTTTTCCTTGTGCGCTGCTAGAGCAGACAGCCAGTGTGTGAGGGGAGCAGTGTAATTTGTCCAATTCCTCCCCGCCCCTTGCGTACTCCTGTTGCTGCCCAGTCCATCTCATAGTCAGCTTTTCTAATATCCTGCAGCGTCTCCCCAGAGCAGTGTTTGTGGAGCAGGGAGGAGAGGCCAGGCCTGCCCAAACCAAAATCCCCCTCCCCCCAATCAAACCTATAAATTACTGTGCCCGGTATCTTTTTAAATCTTTGGCTAAGCTCAAGTGCAGTCAATTTAATCAACGATGTTTCCTCTGTTAGGGGCTACTAGTTCGTGTCCTTCCTGGGGAGAAGGAATGGTGCAGGAGAAGACGGATGGACTTTGTGATCCGATAACACTTCTTTCTCTATCTCTGCTTAATTTCTTCCCTTGAGAATAATTGTGGTAAAGCTGCGTTGGCAGAATGTTGATCGACACTGTCCTCTGGTGGCTAAGTGTGGTAGAGCAGAAGCAGGGAAACGTGCCGGGGTTTAGTTTTTTTATTAATTTGTTTTGCTTTGCTTGCTCCAAAGATTCAAGTTGTATTGTGGAGGATTTTGTTTTCACAAGTGGAGGACTTTTGTAAAAAATAATGCTGTTTTTGAGCAGTCATTTTAGCAATTTCCCTTATTCCAGTAAACTCTGGGTATGGCCGTGTGGTTCTAAGCATTTAGATGAGTCTGAGGGGAAAGGATTTGAACAGAAAGACATTAAAAACCTTTTTGAAATTATGTTATTACAGTAAAGAGAAACCACGATCGATACAGCCAAGTCCCGTACCCATGTTACCTCATCTCATCTGGCATTGGTGTTTATTTAGGCCTAGGGATGCCAGAGTTTAACCTGGCAGCCCTAGGAGTGGTTAACCATGTTCACTGAGACCAAGGGCCCATTCCTAGCCTTGCCTGCCCATCGCTGGCCTAGAGGCGCTCTGCGTCTGAGAGCCGAGCCGATTCCCCGGTGGATCTCCAGCCGGCTAGCCCTGTGCAGTTGCGCCCGTCGGAGCTGTGAAGGGAAGCTCTTGTGGAATGCTGAAGGCCAGTAGGAGCCCGAGTCTGGCCTTGGTTCCAGAACCTGGCGAGAGGAGCAGTTGCGCCCGGAGACACAGCGGCAGTTGACGGGGCAGACAGACAGCTGTGCGAGGAATTCGAGGTGTGGGAGGGCAGAGAGGTGGCCCTCGGGTAGAACGGGCTCTGCCACTTGTCCTCTCCCTGTGTGTGCCAGGGCTCAGGCAGCGGGCGGCTGCCACGCAGCATTTCACCTGCCCGCTGCTGGAAGGAGCACTCGTAGAGAGCAGCCTGGAGAGGAAAAGGGGAAGGGGGCGTGGACGGAGAGAAGGGGATGCTGGGGCCTGAGAGGTGGAAGTCTGGGGCTAGCTGGGGCAGAGGGGAGAGGCGGAGGG